TATTCTTAACACACAAGGACAAGCTGTTGCATTGACTGGCTTTGTATGTCTTTCATTTCAGGAATTTCACAAGGGCAACAAACAAAACCTAACAAAGACCAAGTCTGTCTTTCGGGGAATGGTAAGACAACAAACTAACTGATCTAATGCCATCATCATGGAGATCAGTAACAGTGAAAAAAATACAGATTTTAACCTGTGAAGTGAAACTGAGCTTGTTTCTCTACTGATAACCATTGTTAGGATGTGGGGAAATTGGAGATCCCTGCTGAGCTGTCAGCCAGACTCTTCAGTGCTGCAGGTCAGATTTATAAGCTCAACTGGAGAACTGACTGTAGTAAGACTACAGTCTGCACATATATAGGCTTTGTCCATCTTGATTCTACTTCCATCATCTTTCATCAGGGTTGCAGCATTTGCTACGGGTAACAGAGGTTGCACCACCACAGGTAAAGGCAAAACACAAGCTAACCCTGCCTCTGGATATAGACAGATACCCATTCTCTCGCTATGCCAAGTCCATATTAAAGGTAAGTATTACTGCAGCATGCACACACATGCACACACATATATATATTATGGCATGCCGTTCAGGAAATTAAACTGTATATGGAATGAAGTGTGAAACTTTGAATATCTGGAATGAAACTTTGAATATCTGGAATGAAACTTTGAATATCTGGAATGAAACTTTGAATATATGGAATGAAGTGTGAATATATGGAATGAAGTGTGAATATATGGAATGAACCTTGAATATATTGAATGAAACCTTGAATATATTGAATGGAGTCTGAAAATATTGAATGAAGTCTGAATATATGGAATGAAACCTTGAATATATTGAATGAAACTTGACAGACGTCAGACTTCACCGCAGTGCCTGCGGCCATCTTGTGTAATGTGTGGATGCTATAGCTAAAAGTGACTGACAATGAGTTAGTCCACTCACAATATCGTTGCAGCAATATTACTGTACACTATAAGCACATCAGTAACACACTGGTGAATGCGTGTACGGGCCAAAATCCCCTGATACCCCTGCCGAATACCGTTCTTCTGACAAGGAAGTTTGCTCCCTTTTTAATCATGGCAGGCAGCTGTTTATCAGGCCAACCTCAGCATGCCTTCAACCTTACAGGAGTGCCCGACAACACCCAGTGTACAATCACTTAATCAATCTTAACAATCTTAACAACAACGAGATTGTGAGCGGACTAATTGTCACTTAGCTATAGCATCCACACGTTACACAAGATGGCCGCAGGCACTGCGGTGAAGTCTGACGACAGTCAAGTTTCATTCAATATATTCTAGATTTCATTCCATATATTCAGACTTCATTCAATATATTCAGACTTCATTCAATATATTCAAAGT